TCCCCGAATTTGGCCAAATCATCGGCCGAGGGCGCAGCCCAACATTTCTGGCCCATAAATAGGACCAAAGTCAGGACCAGAAAGAAACAAATTGTGTATTTCATGGCTCAAATGTTACGCAACTGTGCTGCGAATTTCAGTGAGTTTTCCGTATTTATAGATGGGCTGTCATCAAGATCTTTTCATGGTCGATTGCTAAATTTAAATATTTTGCTATGCTTCAATACTTGTCAAATGACCTATGACTTGAAAGTCTGAATACGATTTAATCTCGCCGCGATATGTAGAACATTATTTTTGACAAACTCTGCTATATAAATATGTATACATTTTAATCAAAAATGCTTATTTTCTTTGCGGTTTTTGAATCGTAGTTTAGCCAAATCAAGGCGTACAGCCAAAAGACCGACTGTTTTGGACAGCTTGCTACAAATGCTATCGATCCCCATCACCTTAAGGAACATTTATTTTTTGACCCATTTTCGCAATTTGTATAAGGGTACATCAGTTATTTTTGGGACTCCGATTTTGGTCAAAAATCCACATTTTTTAATGGGTTTTCAGTCGTAGTTTAGCCAAATCAAGGCGTACAGCTAAAAGACCGACTGTTTTGAGCAGCTTGCTACAAATACTATCGATCCCCATCACTTTAAGGAACATTTATTTTTTGACCAATTTTCGAATTTTTTGTGAGGGGTCATGTTTTTTTGCGAAAAATGGCAAAAATTATAAATTTGCAGGTTTGAATGCACGTGTATTGGAAATTAAAGTACGAGTTCACCAAGGTATGACATTTCGCATTCTAACCTTTATTTGCATTATGGCAGCCAAAACACTGACTTTTTATGGCTAAAAAATGGCATTCAGATTTTGGTCTAAAATACACATTTTTTAGTGGTTTTGTAGCCGTAGTTTAGCCAAATCAAGGCGTACAACTAAAAGACCGACTGTTTTGAGCAGCTTGCTACAAATACTATCGATTCCCATAACTTTGAGGAACATTTATTTTTTGACCTATTTTGGCATTTTTTATAAGGGAGTACATCAGTTATTTTTGGGATTCAGATTTTGGTCAAAAATACACATTTTTTAGTGGTTTTTCAGTCGTAGGTTATCCAAATCCAGGCGTACAACTAAAGACCGACTGTTTTGAGCAGCTTGCTACAAATACTATCGATCCCCATCACTTTAAGGAACATTTCTTTTTTGACCCATTTTCGCATTTTTTTTTCCACAATTTTTAGTGGTTTTTCAGTCGTAGTTTAGCCAAATCAAGGCGTACAACTAAAAGACCGACTGTTTTGAGCAGCTTGCTACAAATGCTATCGATCCCCATCACTTTAAGGAACATTTATTTTTTGACCAATTTTCGAATTTTTTGTGAGGGGTCATGTTTTTTTGCGAAAAATGGCAAAAATTATAAATTTGCAGGTTTGAATGCACGTGTATTGAAAATTAAAGTACGAGTTCACCAAGGTATGACATTTCGCATTCTAACCTTTATTTGCATTATGGCAGCCACAATACTGACTTTTATGGCTAAAAAATGGCATTCAGATATTTGTCAAAAATACTGAATTTCCTTGCGGTTTTTCAATCGTAGCTTAGCCAAATTAAGGCGTACAGCTACAAGTCCGACTGTCTAACAGATTGTTCATGAAATTGATATATTAAAAAATAAGAGATTCTTGATAGGGTATGCGTTATTACACGTCTTTCCACGGTTCAAGTTATATTATATATATTTCGAAAAATGTTTTTCACCTGAAAAATCCAATGGAAAATGCAGATGCCGGGAGCTTCAGCTTTCAGTTTTCAGCTTCAGCTGTGGCAAAAAGCGTCTGCACTTTAGCGGCAATCGAAGCATAAAATGAGCAGCAAGTGCCACTACACACACAGCTGGAGACACACTCACACAAATGCACCGGAACACACACTCACACACAGGCGAATCAGAATCAAAAATTGTATGCGTTTTGCACCTTGAAAATGCGTTGCAGTTGGTATGTACTCAGTGAATTTTATTCACACCCTTCTCCAAATGAATACGGAAAATACTCAGCATGCGCTACATTTTCATAGTTGGTTTTATTGCCATTTAAAATATTTGAAAAGGGTTTTTTAACGAAAAATCATAAGGTGTTTTAGGCTTTCTATATATTATAATTTTAGGATCACATTAAAGTTGTGGCTTTGCTATAGACATGAAAAATTTCAGAACAGCAAACTTTTTTCGAGTAATAAAAATAACTCATTTAATTTTCTGGAGACCATCTTATATTTTGGATTCAATATTTTAATATTTCCTCTTGTACCAGATTTTGAAATGCAATAGTGGAGTTTATAATTTGAAAGAAGTATTTATATTATTTTTGGCCATGTTTTTAATTATGATATAATTTTAATAAAGCGCCAATTCAATTCGCCCATAACTCTAGGATTTCTATGCGTGGGTGTATATATCTTTTTTTGTGATTTCACTGGCTGATTTTTCTCTCGCATTTCTTGTTTATTTTATATGTATTTTTTGCGCTGCAGCGTCAACGGCAAATTAATTAATTCCAGTGGAGCGATTTTTCAAGAAAAAGCCCTTTTCCAACACACATCCATACATATGTGTTTATATATCCGTATCCGTCCCCCACTTTTGGTGGGCCACTCAAAACCGTTTCGCAGGTGTTGTAATATTATTTGGAATTATGTTGGAATTTCTTGTTTTCTTTGGACCCCCGTGTGCGAGTGTTTTTTTTTATTTTTTACGTCCCTGCTGCTCGGGAAATGCCATGAAAATTATTTGCTTTTTAATTTTGTTTCAAGTTGCATATGTCTCTCTGCACGTGTGTGGGTGGGTGTGTATGTGTGTTTGGTTCGTTGTTTATAGCTAACTTTACAGTTGAGAAAGCATTTGTTAAGTGGTTTTAATTAGTTGCCCCGACTTTCCCCACACCCCATAATTCCTAAGCCTCCTTTGGCCATGTTTGTGATGATATATCGTGCTGCCGAATTCCCACTGAAGTGTGCAATATGATATACTAAAAATAAATATATAATACTTAGTATTAAGTGACCTTCCTTTTAAATATTTTTAAGAAAATATAAATTAATATTATTAAAGGAAAATGCAACGAAAGAAAAAATTTCATAACAAAAGATACAAGAAATCAACTAAAATATTTTACAGATGAGATAAAGTATTAAGGTAATAGAACTATATAGTATTAACCCATTTACAGTCGAAACTATTTTTTAAAAAATCCTAAGTCATAATTAGCATCTGTTATGACCTCGAACCCCATTATATGAGGCTTCCTTATAGCACTGAATTAACCCAATCAATTTTCGTGGATATTAACTCACCTGAACGCAACTAAGGCTGCAGCAATTAGATATGGAAACACACCCTGTCGCAGTGACACTCTACATATGCAAATGTCCACCCCAGAAAGGCCCCCCCCCCCCCCCCCCCCCCCCTACGCGAACCCATCCCCCTTTTTAGCGAGCCACTGTCATTCACACTTCGGTCGTCATCAGTGGGAAAGGCATGTAATGGGTGCTGCCATTTACAATATTTATCAAGTGCGCGAAACACACCCAAAAACCAGGATAGCGATTAGCTGGTGGAACTGAAAATGGAAAGTGGAGTGTAGAACTGGGGAACTGGGAGCAGGACTCATATATTATGGGCTTTGGCATCGTCATCGGGCCTATGCGTGGCCCCTAATTACATCGCATTGTCATAACAAAATTGAGCGCATTTGACACGCAATTGCCCCACAGTTGGATGTGCACTGGGAGAAAATTATGACTGAGATTAGTGGAAAAAAAATTCTTTTTAAAATTAGTTCTATTTAAAAAATGTACAAATTAGTTTCATAAAAGTAATGAATTATTTAGTAATGATAGTGAAATTTATGTTATAACCATATATTGGTAAAGTTTTTATTGATTACACAAGTTATTATATGAATAAACTATATCACTTGAGTCGAACCTATTTTTTGATTATATATTTTTCTGATAATAAAATGTGATTCAATAAGCAGTCCTACGTATAAGATCATAGAAAAAGGTATCATATGTTGCACTCATTAAAAAAATGTTATTGAATAAGTTTCTATATGCTTAAAAAATATATACTTAATTTTTTCCCTTATTCCCGTGACATTTTCTCTCCGTTTCCTCCACGATGACATGTGAGAAATGCCACCGAGGTCGGCAGTCAGGAGTCAGGGGTCAAAAGTCGGAGGGACTGTTGCATCAGCCCAACTAGATAAGAATTAATTGTTCAATGGCACGCATTGCACTAAATATTTGAATATATACACCCGTTAGTTGGCTCTTCCCGTTAATCGGATAAAATTCATAATTATTGTTATTACTGTCATTTTTCTAATGACCCGCCTGCGCACCCAAATTGCGTGTACTTTTCTATTAAGATGAGCTATCAAACGCACTTTTCCGACTGCGCTTGACTTGTTTGTTTTAGCTTTTTTAGTTTTGGCCAGGAATCCCGATTTGGTGGGCTAATGTAACCATAACCATCCCTTGGATCTTCGATGGCCACGCAACGCACGCGTAAATTATGTAATTAAAATTCCGCACCTTAATTCGGGCAATTTATTACACGAGCTTTTGACTAATTGGATAACGATCTTTAACTATGTCCACTAAATACGGGGCACTGTATGTGTATTATGGAGGTCGGAAAAGTGGAGGGCGCTGATGTGCTTATGAGTTCATAAGCGATTGCATTCGCCGATAGAGCTCGCAATTAATTGAATTTTTACTGAAAGTCGCTTTGAAGGTGTGTGGAATCCAGCCGGGTAATTAACTATATGGAAATTTTGGCCACAAAGGGTGAGTAGGTAATTTGGAAAGGTTTTCACTATTCACTTACCTAATAAATCACTAACTTAATTATGTGGCTAGCATTCTGTCGCCTATAAAAATATATATCTTCTTAGGAACTCATAAAAAAGTTAACAATGCACATTTTGCAATATTATATTCGGGAATTGTTTATTAAGGGAATTGACATGCCACCAAAAAATTTAGGATAAAGTTCACAATAATATTTATAAAGCCAGGAAACCTTTGATATTCAGATTAATCGAATAATTCGGATGGTACTATAAAAACTCGGGCACTACCTTCAGGAGGAGGAGTTGCATTGGTGGCGTTTCCAGGAGCTCCATTGGTGGAGTTTCCAGGTCCTGCAGTTCCATTGCCTGGACCTCCTGGTCCACCTGGTCCTCCTGGTCCACCTGGTCCTCCCGGTCCACCTGGCCCCGATCCATCTGAGCCATTACCCTTGTCATGACACAAAAAGAATTCAGGAAAATATTTGCAGAAGGTGACTGTCGGCGGTTGAAGGAAATGCTGAAAGATGCCCAAAATAATTAATTCACTTTTATAAATAATTCCCAAGACCATTCGAGAACTTACAGCTGCTGCTGTAACTTGCGAGCTGCAGAAGAAAGCCAAAAATAGGCCAAGAACGGCTAGGGAAATCTTCATTTTGTCTTGGAAGTAATGCGACTGATTTTGAAAGTTCAGAACTGCGATATTTATAGGGGAAATACTTACCTTCGCTCTCTGCCGATAAGAACTTTAACTGAAGTCGTGTCCCAATAATAGAAAATCGTGAGATTTAAAATCCTTATCTCATGCTCATGCTCGAAATAAATTTGCCTCCAAATGGTTAAAGATAATAAACAGTACAATTTGTTTTAATAAAGATTAATCCACCACACGTGTGAGAAGTAAGAGAAAATGTGGAATTTAAAATGTTTGAAACAACCGATTTGTTCTGCAAGCCCCTCCACAATTAAATCCTGGATCCGCCACTTTTTTCTAGTATTCAAAGTCAAATTATATTGACTTTTATGTATTTTATTTTACACATTCTTTAAAGCTTTGACAATATATGTACATGTACCAATATCATATATCCATAAAGTTAAAACATAATCTTTAAAGTCTAAGAAAATGTATGTCTTCATGTGTTACCCTTTTCTGTTTAGAAGGCTACCTTGTTCAAAAAAAATTGTTTTTGAAATTCGTTTTACATTGGGGTACCAAATTTTTCATTTTTGCCATTTTTCGCAAAAAAAAAATTATCAGCCCCTCATAAAAAATTCGAAAATTGGTCAAAAAATACATTTTCCTTAAAGTGATGCCGATCGTTAGCTTAAGAAGCAAGATGTCCAGAACAGTCGGTCTTTTAGCTGTACGCTTTGATTTGGCTAAAATACGATTCAAAAACGGCAAAGAAAATGAGTATTTTTGACTAAAATTTGAATGCCACTTTTTAGCCATAAAAAGTCAGTGTTTTGGCAGCCAAAATGCAAATAGAGGTCAGAATCCGGAATGTCATACCTTGATGAACTCGTTGTTTAATTTTCAATACATTGGCATTAAAACCTGAAAATGTTAAATTTTTGCCATTTTTCGCAAAAAAACATGACCTCATAAAAAATTTGAAAATTGGTCAAAAAATAAATTTTCCTTAAAGTGATGCCGATCGTTAGCATAGGAAGCAAGCTGTCCAAAACAATTAGTCTTTTAGCTCTACGCCTTGATTTGGCTAAACTACTATTGAAAATCCGCAAAGAAAATGAGTATTTTTGGCTAAAATCTGAATGCCATTTTTGAGCCATTAAAAGTCAGTATTTTTGCTGCCATAATGCAAATAAAGGTCAGAATGCGGAATGTCATACCTTGACGAACTCGTTGCTTAATTTCCAATACATAAGAATTCAAACCTGAATACTTTCAATTTTTGCAATTTTTCGCAAAAAAACATGGTCAAAAAAATTTCGAAAATTGGTCCAAAAAAAATCCCTTAAGTGATGCCGATCGTTAGCATAGGAGGCAAGCTGTCCAAAACAGTCGGTCTTTTGGCTGTACGCCTTGATTTGGCTAAACTACGACTGAAAAACCACTCAAAAATGTGTATTTTTGACCAAAATCTGAATCCCAAGAAAACTGATGTATCCCCTTATAAAAAATTCGAAAATTGGTCAAAAAATCTTCCTTAAATTGATTGGAATCGACAGCATTTGTAGTAAGCTGTCCAAAACAGTCGGCCTTTTGGCTGTACGCCTTGATTTGACTAAGTTACGACTGAAAAGCCACAAAAAAATTTTTTTTTTACCTAAATCTGAATTTCAAAAAAATCGGATGTACCCCCTAATAAAAAATGCAAAAATGGGTCAAAAAATAAAAGTTCCTTAAAGTGATATGGATCGATAGCATTTGTAGCAAGCTGCTCAAAACAGTCGGTCTTTTGGCTGTACGCCTTGATTTGGCTAAACTACGACTGAAAAACCACTAAAAAATGAGTACTTTCAACCAAAATCTCAAACCCAAAAATAACTGATGTACCCCCTGTACATTTTTAATTTTTGCCATTTTTCGCAAAAAAAAAAGTAATCAGTATAAGTTTAGGGATATTTTTTTCGTCCGCATTATAAACTAAAAGTAGAGGTTCCCTAGGTTTAGGACCTTTGTTAAGTTGAAGTTGTTAAATCTATTATTATTTTTTTTTGTTTGGAAATGTTTCTGTAATGTTGATTTGATTTTTAATGTGGTGCTGCCATATTTTCGCGATTATCGGTGACCAGTGGTCATAATTCACAACCAAACACGACAACTGACACTTTTTGTGCCCATACATCACACACAAATTGCTTACTGTTTTTTATTTGGTTTTTTGTTTTGGTTTTTTTCATTCACGTTCTGGTCAATAATTCGCACAGCCATTGATGGAAATTAAAACACAAGTCAAACGGCGGCAGTGGTAGCTGTTCGGCATAAAAAAGCAATTTCCATCATTAAAGCGGGCAATTGAATGAGTCAACAGAGCCGACAGGTGAATCGGAAAGGTGAGAAGTGGGCGGAGGGTATGACGCCGTGGGCTAAAAATAAAACCCTATATACTATATACCATATATACCATACTGCTCTGCAGTACAGTAGTAGTATAGTAGTATTAGGCAGGGTCAACGGAGCTTTTTCGGTATGCGGCACACGTGGGTCCCCGATTATAATGCCTTTCAGCCGATTTACTCGGCTCAATTCGCTGGTGTTTTTACGGTTTCAGTTCGTATTCGCCGCTCAACGTAAAATGTTGTGAGGCATTTTAACCCCAACAAAATATCGCTGTATTTCTACCGATTCCCCGATTCTGGTCATGGTTTTTCTTCTCAAACTATTGGCCCTTTTGGCTGTGGTCGCCATTTCTATTCATATGGTAAGTGGAAAATCAATAGAGAAGTCTGGATTTCTTGTAAAAAAGAATATGAACTAGTTATGAATATATCAAAAACTTTTGTATTCATAATTTATTATTCAGTAAAAATTAGGTAAAAATATATTTGAACTATATTTTCTATTGAACAAAAATTAAAAACCGGTTGAACTAGATATTAATAAACAATTTCCTTTGCGCAGACCCTTGCACTGGAGTTCATGGATGAAGGAAACGATGAGGGTCATCATTTTGATGAGGAATCCTCTGCAGAGGTGCCTGGTGTTTTAACAGGTTATACCAGAGATACGATCGCACATTTCAATCCCCGAAAAGCCGATGTTGGATTTCGACAATTATGGGAACGTGTTCCCCTTGAAAAAGTCGATGTGATTAAGAGGAGATAGGGAAACTTACTCATAGCTACGATTACTCACTCAAAGTCATGACCAAATAAAGGAAAACTTAACACTTGACGTAAATATTTCATATTTATTATATTTCATATTTATTATCTACGATATGAATTTTTGTAATAAAGTGTAGAATGTTGTAACTAATCAAACATACTTAGGGTGTAGAAAAATCCTAAAAATAGAGGTTAGACACTTTGATGTATTGATATAGATAAATGATGAAATAAAGGCAATATTAAATAAATAGTTATGATAACACTACTCTAAAAAGAAAGAATGGAATGAAAACTGCACTGTCAACTGGTTAAGAAATTTTATAAGAAACCATAAATGTGGTATGAGAACAATTCCCTTGGAGGTTTTTTGGGTCAAACCTTTTTGCCTTCGGCCCAGGGGCTAAACCAACCTCCCGCCAATAACCCACCCAACTTTGTGGTTTCCCGCCCCATCAAAAACCAAAGCAACCTTCAGCCCAAGTAGTTCTTAGAAAAGTAATAAAAAAAAACCGTGGAAAAAAGCGGCCCTCCTAGGGTAAAACTTTTTTATTTGCATTTTGTTTTAAGCAATGGAAGGAGACAGAGAAAAAAAGTGAGACCAACTCTGTTTCTGTTTCGGGTGTTTTTTATCCACTTTTTTTTTTGCTTTTGCTGGTTGTTTCTTCTTTGTTTTGTAGAAAAATTCACAAGTTTTATGGTAGCATAAAAGTTTTTGTGGGGAAAACTTTGCACTTGTCTTGCCGAAAGGGTTTTACAATGATGCGCTATATGCGACACGCCCCCCTCGAACTGTCCAAGTGGGCGTGTCGAGCACTTAATATTTCAGGCATATCATTAGGCGAACACAATATTCCCGAAAACTGATTTTGGGGTGCTCTATAAACTTTTTTGTTCTTGTTTTTGTTTTTTTTTCTTTTCGGCCAGAATGTGACACTCAGTCAGTCTGTTAAACATGGCGGTTACTTAACCCCAGAAAGCAACTTTCGGCTGACCACTCTGAATGACTAGCATGCATTATCATTAAAATAAATTATTAGAGTCCAGTGTGGCCACAAACTAAAACGCATTTTGCACGTTTTGTGTGCGAGAATTTTTTACACGATTTTTACAACTTTTTTTGCGGTTGCGCTAAGTACACAAAAGCATTCTGACTGCAAAGAGGGGAGAAGTGAGGCTAGGAATGGCTATAGTGTATGGTGTATGGGGTGGTTAAAGATAAAAAGTCAAGTTGAATGCGTTTAGAGTTAGGATGTAGCATTTAGTTAACCCACAAGACGCACACAAGAAATAACTTTGCATACTTTTAGGCAACATGTTAAATACTAATGCAGAAAACGGGCCTTTCCACCATCACCATCAAAAGACAATGAAAACGGGGTGGAAAGTGGAAAGTGCGCTGGAAGCCACGTAATTTCTCAAGTAACCTAACCACGTAAAGCATAAAATATTTGCCTTTGAGTCGGGGGCAAAAGTATGTCCAAGAAGTTGCCCAGTTGCCGCAAAAACAAGTTGCAAGCCGCTCATTTGAATACCCGGCTACGAACTCGGACATGCAAACAACTTTGACCACGCATTTGTTGGAGGCTGGAGATGCAAGTCGTAAACAGGATATCAGGGTGACCGAACATCTTGATACCCTATTTTGAAAGATTTAAATATCAGCTTACACAGGTCACCAAAATGAAGCAGGAAATGTTGTCACCTTTTCAAGTTTTATATCATCAGCCCTAGAAACATCATAGTTCTAATGGTTAGAACCCGCATTTATGTACTACCCTCATAAGTATCAACATAGTTATAGAAGTTAAAATCATCATCTTGAATTGTAAATATTGCTATTAAACATTTGAATAGTCTAAGATTTAATGAGGTGTAAGATATAAATTAACCAGAAGATGAATCTGAAATAAAAAAATTATAAAGATGACCGTAGTTACGATGTTTTGGTATTCGGTAAGTAGGTATTGATAGATCCTTGGCTATTCTTTGAGCTTATAACCAACACATTCTATCAAAGAGGCAAAGGTTTTGCCAAAGTCGTAATACCCCCTTGAAAAGTCGTTAAAAATAGGCAAAAGGAGCTGGACGTAGGTGACGATGACAAGTCAGGGACACAAGAGCAGCATCCTCGGCAGGAGTCAGCCAGTTGACTGGCCACATGCTTCATGCTGCCAGGCACATGCAATTTGTAAGCCAAAGCGCATAATTTACAACGGGGAGAGCCCCGTCTTCGGGGTCTTGAGACACAACTAGGAACTCAAACTCAAGCCCAGACCCAGACCCAGACCCAAACCCAAACCCGAAAGACCATATCCACTGCCCCGTTTGCCGTCTTGGCCAATGAAGTGCCGGTTGCGGCCAGTTCATCTTGGGTCCCCGAAGGAGAATCATTCGAAGTTTTGACCCAAGGAGGCGGCTAGCACCGATTGTGGTTGCCCTCAAGAAAAACAGTGCTTAAGTTGGCAAAGGAGCTGTGATTAATAGACCAAAATAAAATAAATATTTGCTTAGTTTATCTCAAAGAGATTTAATGATTTGGTTTCAATGCGGAATCAGTCCTTAGTACAATATAGTTACAAAAATCGGAATGGTTTTAAGATCACTCAGCAAGATGCCTACAGAGATAATCGTATATTGTTGCATACTATTGGAGACTTTTTTTAAAAAAGTCTTTATTTGTATCTCCATTGTCAACGAATGTGTAGACATTTATGTTTACTTCTTAAAAACTATCTTCAAATGTAAGCCCTGGACTCGCACTCATTTGCATGCCAGTGAATTGTCCCCCTGTCAGAGGACTACTTACCGGGGGGCATATCTACCGACTTAGTTCTTGAGTTTATTCTTTTTCGGGGATTCTGCGACCCTCGTGTTTCGGCGCAGCGAGCTCTCGAGGAGAAGTGGAGGCCAGGATTCGCGTGGGCTTAAGTGTCCTGGCCGAAAGGAGTGGCGAGTCAAGTGGCCATGGTCATAAAAAGACGGGCCCGGCGGTGGTGGAAGTACGAGTAAGCGGTGTCCGCAAGAAAATAACTTGTAGCAAATTAAGTTTGTTAGTAATTAGAACACCACTAAGGACACCTGAGCGCCGGTTGAATTTATACCCGTGCCCGGGCCAAAAGGCAGGACAACACACAACAATTAAACTTGCCGCCTCTAATTCCACCTCCTTTTTCGGTTGCCGAGTCGAGTCCTTCGTCCTGTCTCAGGTAAAAGGTAAAGTAACAAAAGTTCCACCAAGTCCAAGCCTGCCTTGTCGAAAATTCCTCAACTCGAAAGTTGCCAACTTTGATGTACCAAGAAGAAGACTGGCAAAGGAGATGCATTTTTTGGTGCGGGGAGAACAACCGTCAAGTGCATGCCTGGACATCGGCCAGTTGCTCCATTCCGCTTAACCCATTGAGTGCCGGTAGTCGAAAATGCCAACAGTGATTTCACAGCTTTGTAAGAATAATAAGTCTATTTTTTTAAAGAAATTTCTTCTTAACGTTATTTAAAATGCCAATGAAAGTATGCTGTTTCGTTGTTTTTGAGCTAGGTTTATGGGATATTTCAGCTTTCAACTAGTTAAAAACTATACCTAAAAGTATGCTGTACTTATTGCAATTTTATATTCAAATACTGTTGCATAATTTTAGACACTTTTTATGTAAATGACAAATTTTCAAATGATTTTAACTATATGGAACTGCTTTAAATTCCATTGCCAATAACTTAGAAGAGAGATATGTCTATGGGTTAACCCTGTAAAGTCCACCCTCGCACACTCGACAAGAACTGTGGCCAAGTGGCAAAAGTTTGGCAGCTTAAGGAGCAGCAGAAAGCAGTTCAGTTGACCCAAGTACACAACGTTTCCCAAGCGAACAGGTACTTTGTGGCGTGCGTGGGACAGGAAAAAGGATCTGAAAAGTAGCAGGAGGACCACTGAGGACAGGACATTAGCAGCAGGGTTTCACAGAAACAAGATAAATACTCATATGTATACCATACCACATACTTAAAAATGTTTACACATTTAGGATGATGCAAATACCACTCATTGCTTAATAATTTAATGTCTTGCTATCAAGGGAATATTTCAAATACAATTTTGTTAAGCTACACACATTTCGTTAGTCATGATGAATTAGACTTGAAAGAGCCCATTAAAGTTCCAGTCGATCGGCTGTCGTTTGAGAGTCTTTAGTTCCCTTCCCCGAATCGTTAATTATCTGGACCGATTTTTTCGCTCTAAAAGCACATGCTTGGCCTCGTTGATCTTAGCAGCCAGGTATGGTGAGCCATTGCGATCCGGATGATTGGCGAGGATGACCCGCCGGTGGGCCTCCCGCATGCGGCTCCATGGGGCACTCAGGCTAGTGCCCAGAATTTGAGATGCTTCGCGGGGCGTCATCCGCTCCTGAAGATTAAAATAATTATAATTGTTAAGCTATCTATAATATATTTACAATATTTAACAGGAAAACCATTGATTTAAAGGATTAATCCTGAAGAATTCGCAAAAAATAAGATACAGTTAAAAAATGGAGGGGTGTACCAGGGTGGGAGGGTGATGAATTCGCGATATACCAGATTAAGCTAAAGAATTCGCGTTTACATTTGATGATCATCAAAGCAAGTGAAATTATTATTATTATTATAAAATATTCGACTATAATGTAAAATTTACAGGCGAACTTAAAATAAGCTATAATATAAGTTTAACTAAAAAATTCGCGTTTATATTATTTTGAATGTTGATAGGTGTACCAAAGATCTATGGCTAAATGCTGAAGAGTTCACGATTTACCTTAAATCCGCCGCTATAAAAGCGTCTGGTGCCGAGATCTCCAAAGGCTGATTTGCACAGCTGACCAATCCGGTTGGATGCGTTGGGGAATCTGAAGACGGCAATACCGCAAGCGGCCACGCCCACTACTACGCCCATTCCTATTAAATGTAACGAGTTACTAACGGCCTGCGAGAATTTACCAGTTTGCATTTTGAATCTGTATAATCTTCGTCCGAATTAAAAAAAAAATAATATGAAATTGTTGAATGTGGAAAATTTAAGAAATGACACTAAAATCTACAGATACTTGGATACAAGAAAGCAAACACCGTAAATTCCCCAAAAAGCTTAAATTTAAACACATCCCTTTCAAGTAGACCAATCAAAATGGGCCCTTTAAGTTTTGAGAGGCAATCAATTTAAGCCTTCTTAAAGTTTCCATAACGCAGACAAAGGCTGGGAGCCCGGCCACACTTTCACTTTATTAACACCAAATTAATTTTGTCTCAAAACGAATACACACATAGAACATATACAAATATATATGGAATCCAAAACCCCCCCCACAAGAGTTACACACATGAATACATTTCGTGCACAGTTGAGTGCAGCGATTGAATTTTAAACAAGAACGACAAATGCCGGCAATCAAGTCAAGTCAAGTCAAGGAGGAAAATGAACTTGGGAAGGAAACTCCAAGGCGACGGGTGCTATAATCAATATGCAGCAGTCAATAAGAAGGAGCAACAATTACACAGGACCTGAGACCTGAGAAATTTGGGAATTTTGGGTGGGGTAGTTGGGGGGGGGTTTACGGTTTTGCCCCATAGTTTTGCAATGTGCGTCGGTTAAATGATGTGTAATCGTCTTATGTGCACTCGAATGCCTTTTGGCTTCTAATATGGCCGGGCATCAAGGACCCAGGACTAAAGGACCTCAACGCACACATACTCAAAGGACAACGGGAGCACTGAGGACAAAGGCCGGACCCGAGGACCCAAGATCCCCACAGTCCACACACACAAAAGAAAACTTTGCCATAGGCTGACCTCAAAATGCACAACGACACAAACTTTAATTTACAATCAATTCAGGCGTGAATAATAAACCACAAGAAACCAAACAGGGAGTTCTCCCCGAGACGAAGTGAAAGTGTTGCCCTTTGTCCTCTCGAAAATTTAGTTACAACACACAACACCAAAAGTTTGCCAAGTTTTCGAGGCAAACAAACAAAACTCTCGGGCATCTCGTACTCCTTAAAATTTACCCGAAAACCGCAACACTTCCGCTTTCCGAGCATCCTGTCCTTTGGACAGGAAATTCCTGCCAAGTGGTCCTCGGCTATCAATATTGTTTTCCTATTAAATTGATCATTGGTTAGTCAACAATTGCGGCGGGGTCCTTTGTCCTTTTGGCCACCACACGATTGTCTGGCCTTTTCCACTGACCAAAGAACAGAGGATAATACACCTACCGTTGTCCATTTTTCAAAGATTTTTATTTTTAAACAGTTTTCCTTTATCTGAATATTATTGGCAAGGCGAGTTTTTAAATTTGTTTACATTTAACTAGTTCTTAAGCCTCTTAAAAAACATTTTCATAACATTTCCCTTATTACATTTAACTACTTCTTAAGCCTCTTAAAAAATATTTCCATAACATTTCCATCAATTTGTTTAAATACTTTTAAAATCACACAATACCTATGTCAATTAACTTGCGGTGAATTGTAAATTCCTGTGGCTCCTAAAATGGAGAACTGCAGGCCGAAAACCTTGGCTGCCAGATATTTGTGGTATCCATCCAATGTCAATCAATTGTGGATTCATCGAGGAAGTGGGGTCCTCAAGAGGGTAAACAAAAACAGATGCCTACTTACATCAGGAGAGGAGGACAGACATCAGGATATCAGGACATCGGGTGGAGCAGTCAATCAGTCAGTTCCTGGTTCGCTGATCTGTGAACTTGCGAGCCTGCCAGTCGTGTGATTCCTGTGATTCCTGTGATTCCTATGATTCCTATGATTCCTCCGATATCTGGGCGTCCTGTGAGCTGCTCTATTTGCTTCAACACCCACTGCAAATTAAATTCATTAGTCAACTTCCGGCTGGGAAGTCTGGAAATGGGAACGGGATGTGTTGCCATGTGCTGGCTGCTGTCAATTCAGACGGATTTGAAGTCAACTCAATTTGAAATCAATAGTGTGTGAATAATCCTTTCACACCGACACCGACGCACATGGTTTGTGTGCATCTAATATGCCCCTTCCCAGGGGGAAAACCCTCATTTTTGGTCGGGGTAGGAATTGCATCTGGTGCCTGGGATTGTCTAGTCTGGATGGTTGGATAAATGGCTGGATGGCTGGCTGACTGACTGACTGACTGACTGAGTGACTAACTGACTAACTGGCTGCCTTTCTGCTGGGCACTTGAAAACGTTTTTGCATTGATTGCACTTCATATCAGCCATCCAATCCAGTCAGTGATTCGTTCATTCATTCATTCATTCACTCGTTCAAGCAGGCCGTTTATTCATGCCACTCGCATATGTTGCATCGTCATTTTTTGGGCGGAGAACTGCAAAGCCCGAACCCAAGTAGACATGGCAACCAAAAAAGGCAAGCCATTAAGCGATGACGACGATGAAAGTATTTAAGCAATTCAATGGCATTTCAAAAACACCACACGGTAAAAAAATGTATCTGAAATTAAAGGTTATAAAAACTCAGTCAGTAAGAACTAGTTTCAGAAAATTAAAACTAATAATTAGACCTCGGATATGGCATATTATAAAAGTTAAAGCTTAAATGTGTTTGGATTTTATGGAAAAAATTATGGTTTTTATTAAAATTTTCTTTAAAACTATTGTTAATGATCAATGTACTAATAATATAATAAATATATAATGTGGATATACATCGGATATGTATAGTATTACATCGTGACATAGATATAGCATTTAAAAAACCAATCCATGAATGAGCATTGATAGTAACATATAAAATATTAGGAGAATTGTGGCTTAAATTAAAATATTTTGATGTTAGGATAAAAAAAGTTTCATTGTAAAAAATATTTTAAGAACTGTCACAGCAAAGTTATGTTAAAATTTTACTCATTTTGAATGAACTATCATGAGGTATCTAAAGTTTAATCATTTTCTCAGCTTATTAATGTTGCTAATGTATTTTTTCTCAGTGCACCACCACCTGCACCACCCACATGGCAGCTGCACCACTTCATCCCAGTCGAGTGGCAAGCAATGAGCTATGCTATGTGCAATTCAAGTGCCACATCTGCAACTGCAACTGGAAATGCAACTGCAATTGCAGCGACTGCCTTCCGATTCCGATTCACGGGGGAAGCCCCAAAAATTTCGGCTGGTTTGCCCAAGGGTTGGAGTTTGGGTGCTCCTGCAGATCGAGAGGCATTCCCATTTCCATTCCCATGTGGCACCACTTGCTATCTGTTTGTGTCCGTAATTGTGCATAATTGAGTTGAGGCCTCCATTTCCAAAAGGTTTTTTGTTGGCCGGGAAAATGGTATGAAGGGATAAGGAAAGGATGGTAAAGTACTCAGTAAGGGTTTTCCAAAATTATAACAGACAGTTTAATTGGATTTAAATAGAGGTGTCTTGTATTCAAAATGATATTTACTTAAATTTATCTAGGTGCTTAAAAATGCAACAATTCATTTTAGAAGAACTCATTTTGAAAGGCGGAGTTTAGTTTTTTGTTGCATACTTTTAGACACCTTGACTCCCTGAAGGAAAACTATTTTGCCAGCAACATTTGATCTCAGAGAGTTGGCGTTGATTTAACCCATGTAATTTTGGATCAAAAAATGACACGCCTTTAAAATTCAGTTCTCGTTCGGCATTCGTTTGAATAGCACACAATCCATTTGATTTTTGAATAGAAAAACACAGCATTTTATTAGAAAGAAAGCGCTGGCGATGGATGTGGAATTCAGTGTGGAAATGGGCGGCACTCGTCGAACGATCCAGCGAACGTTGATCAGTTGCTGCGAGCAACTGCTCGAGATAGCCCTGATTTTGACCTATGAAAGTGGTCAATTCTTGCGCCGTTTGTGGGGACGAAAACCCCTCGAGAATCCGCAGAGTGGTCAAGAAGCAAGTGGTGATGGTTGGATGTTCGGGAATCGTCAGTATCGTAGTCAAAATCCCAGGATGTTTGTTCAAAAACCCGAAACAGCTTCCCATGAATCCTGGAATTCGCGTGGCGAGGGTGATTTCCTTCGGTGCGAGGATAAAATCGACCGTCCAGTTCCGCGACTTGTGAGCGTGGCCTGTGGTTTTGCCAAGGACCCAGCTGAATATCCGGAATATAATCGTGGGAAATTCGGTGAGGATGCCTGGTTCATGTCCTCCAATTCGCAGTCCTACACAATGGGCGTGGCCGACGGCGTGGGCGGTTGGCGAAATTATGGCATTGACCCCGGTGAATTCAGCATGTTCCTCATGCGATCCTGTGAACGATTTTCGCAGGCCAAGGATTATGTGCCGGAAAGACCGGACTTACTAATTGGACAAGGCTTTTGTGAACTCCTGGAGCAAAATAGGCGCATTGTGGGCAGCTGTACCGCCTGTATTTTGTCTCTAAATAGAGCGAATAGCACTCTGTATACCGCAAATATCGGAGACAGTGGTTTTATGGTGGTGCGATCTGGTGCGGTGGTGTGTAGATCCCTGGAACAGCAGCACCACTTCAATACCCCCTATCAATTGTCTTCTGCACCGCCGGGTCATGAGGATAATGTTCTATCCGATGGTCCCGAAACGGCGGATTGTATCAAATTTCCTGTCGAACTGGGCGACGTAATCCTGCTGGCCACCGATGGGGTGTACGATAATGTCCCCGAAAGCTTTCTCGTCGAGGTTTTAACGGAAATGTCAGGCATTTCGGACCCAGTGCGTCTTCAAATGGCCGCCAATACGGTGGCCCTGATGGCCCGAACTTTGAGCTACAATCCGAATCACGATTCTCCGTTTAGCCAGAATGCCCGAAAACTCAACCTCGAGGCGTCGGGTGGAAAACCAGATGATGTTACGGTTCTTTTGGCCTCGGTTGTCTAGTGTCTGACCAACTGGAGAATCGGAAATGGCATAGAAGATTCAGGAAGACGGGGCTTGGCTACAAAGCTTTTGTAGAATCAAAGAGATGAGTGAAAGAACTGTTGGTCCCTTGCAGAATTTACTAACAAATGGGAAAGAGCATTTGTTAGTATCAGCTGTTTTGGAAAAGCTGGCCTTAAAAAAACCAGAGAATATTCACTGGCAACAGTTCTTCTCTTATCCCTTGATGCTACACCTTTTCTTCTCGTACGTCAACCGAACCACTTTTTTCATCACTCCTCATTTTTAACATTCTGTTCAAAACAATGCCATGTAGAAAACAAAAATATTTCCAAATTGTTTTAAGTGTAATTAAATCACAGTTTTGTTTAAGTCTATTGGTTATATTAAAATTCATATTGGTTTGGGGATTAAGTAAGAAAATGTATATCATTATAATAGTTTAACCTTATTTACTATTTCATTATCTTATTTATCTTTGTGGTCCATTCTTTGCAGTATTTTCTGTCATTTCTCTGAAAAGCAAAGTGTTCAATAAACCCCAAACAAGTTGGGAAACAAAAATCTGTGGAAAATGTCAAGTGAGTGTCGTGGCCCTAATAAACTTAATCAAATTTTTACCATCTACGTGCACTCCTTGCACCGCCGTCCTTTTCGCTCCTTTTTGGTCCTGCCAATGTGTGACGTGACATACGATATTTGAGTTTGGAGTTTTGTGGCTTTTAACTTGATTTTTTTTCGAGCTCTTAGCCCCCGCTTTTGTGTCTGCCATCTATGAGGTGTTAATGCTTTGTAAAGTTTGCAGAAAAACCAAAAACAAAAAAAAAGAGCAGAAAAAACAAAGAACTCAAAGGCAGGAACCAAAGTTGAAGAATTCCGAGTGAGAGTTTGTTGGGGGATAGGACACAAAAACCTTGCCATCAAACAATAAAAAATAACAGCAAAAAATAAAAGAGAAAAGAAATTCCCAACCACAAAGCATTTTTATGAGTTTCGTGTGTGTGTGTGTCCGTCTCTTTCTCATCCCGCTCATGCTGTCTCTTTCCATTTCTCCAGGACTCACTTAATGCTGCACTTTTTTATTCTAAGTGGCTTTTACTTAGTAAGGCCAAAAAACTTGGCACTAACTTTGTGGAAAACTGAGTATAAAGATGCAGCTAGTGACAAACGGGAATTGCAGATTATCCCAAGTTGGATTCTCAATTCGGATTTAATAATCCATTTATATGAAATTGAAATCAAAGGGTACCATAAATATAAAATCCATTACTGATTTTTATATATTTTTACATAGATTTATTTATGGTTTTAGATCATTAAAAACCCGTATTATTTATACCCCATCACTTGCGATGTCTTCAAGATACTTTAGTATCCTTTGGGTGTCCCGAAACTTTATCAACCCCAAAAATAAATGAAAAGTTTCTGCCCCAAAAGCCAAAGCAGATTTAAGGAGTCAAAGGAGATGGAGTTGAAATAGTTTTATTTCAATTAACAAGAGAAATTCGATGAGTTTATTTGTTGTGCGTGCTGGAAATGTGAAAATGTGGAAAAGTGGAAAACCCGCTCGGCGTTTTATGCGACACAAGATAAGAGCGATGGCGACGGCCAAGAATTTAATGCCCGTTTCGGTCGAGTGTGTGTGCGATAATGTTGACAGATAATAAACTGGGAAAATTACAAAATTACAATCAAACATGGCCAAGGGATGGGCGATGGGAAAAGCAAATGAAAGGCAAGGGAAAAGCGTAACCCATACGAGTGGGGACATTTGCAAAAATGTTGTACTGAGAAGGGGTTCTCTTTTGGGGAGGACTTTATAGAGGGGGCTAAGGGAACCCTGGAAGAATAATGCTGCTAATGGCGGACCATTGTCGAGCGGAAATGCCGGGTGTCCTCGCTCTTCGGTTTTAACGGCCCCAGAATTTCGCACCCATTCTACGACGAACGTAAATTTGCCGCCACAAAACTATTCAATTGAAAGTTATTTACGTTTATTGTTTTATTCCAGCCTTTTTATATGGGTCGAAAAAGATAGCCCCTTTAATTAATAAAATGTTTTTGAGAGCAATTTTAATCCATCTTTAATCTGTAAATGCAATCAAAAATATGTTGTAGGTATTTGGAAAATATAAATAAATAATTCTTAGATATATTACATTGTTTTTCATCTTTAAGATATTGTATCTTTAAACCTAGACAATTAGGCATCGGTTTGATTTATGGCCGAATGCCATTAAGTGCTCTGCCAAGGCCATCGATTCGTCGAGCCTTCATCTCCATTTCCATTGCCCTTGCCCAGATCCCTCTCCAAAAATCCAAGTTACGAGTCTGGCCAAATCTATACTTCCGTTGTTAATCATTGGCATCACTTAATGGCCCCTTCCGACTTCCTTTCGGAGGAATGCAATCAGCTAGACAAGCGCATGGATCCAGTTCCATTTTCATTCCCCTTTCCCAACCCAATTCCACTCCCAGTGCTTTTCCCCACTCGAGTGCTTTTCCTTTTTGGGGGAAAACAGCGAACACGCCCTTCAATTACAAATCACGGGATATTCACGGGATATTCGCAGGACTCGCCTGCCCAGATAATCTGCTAAAGGACTTCCGACCGGTGCGTGGAAAAGCAAAGAAACGGGCAAAAATAGAGATATATACATATATACAATGCGGACTGGCACGGGACTCTGTTACTGAAATCGCAATGATATACGGCCGTGAAATCGAATCGCAACCGGACGGGGGACCACTGCACAAAAGGCTTTAAGCTCCAGTTCCAGGATCCCCGATTCCCGATCCTTGGGCCGCTCGACAAAATCAACAGACTATGGCCACGGCCCGCCAGACTCGAAGGATTCTCAGTTGGCGTCGCCATTGTGCATTCAAGGCACTGGAACAAATATATTACAAAATATTTAGATCTCAAAACATGAAATGGTGTTATATATATTATATATTCTCATTTAAATTAGATCATTTTTAGATCTTACATCATAAAATGGTATTATATAGCATAATACAATGAAATATATTACAAAGTATCTGAAATCATGGTATGTTATAAGTTACTTAGGTATACGACGGTAAGGTTATTATAAAAAAATGTATTATAAGAAGGGGTTTCTCTGTTATATAAGGTAAGACCTAATTATGAAATGTATTCCTTCTTCATATTTAACTTTATAGCAATGAAATTATTTTAATTTTATGGAATTTTTCAAAATATATATAGAGACCTATATAGGTTTAATGATACCTAAGAGTTAAATCATTATTTTCCTATATTATAATATATGTACCAATACATTAAATTCTACATTTATATAGTTAGGGATACAACAAATACAAGTTTCAATAAAATAGTATGACTTTTATTTTGAAAGAAAGCGAAACATATAAAAAAATAAGAGTAAACATGATATCCACACATTAAATTAATAGAATAAATATATATTTTAAGATGACACCTCTTTAAGTACAAGAAGTATGTTTTAGAATTTAATAATAAAATAGCAATCCTTACCATCTATACTTTTTCTGGCAGTGCTTAGATTTCTTGGCCGGCGCAGCCAGAAAGAATTTATTGCTCCTTGAGGCCGTGTAGCGTGTCCGAAGGACTCAGCGGGTTGCATGTTCCCTGGCCCACACTCTTGTTCCATTTTTGGAAGGTCCTGCGAACGGAGAGCTCTGCGTCCTTCATCCTCCGTCCTTTGGCCGTTTAGGCGTTGGCATTGCGTTTTCGACGGCCGTGTTGAAATTGACAGCAAAATAATTGCTTGATTATTTATGAGACGCGACTGTCGGCCAGACAGACGGCAACTTTCAAAGCGTTTGTTCTAACGAAGGTAGGAAAAACGCAACAGGATCGTGTGATGGGATTGCTATATGTGCTGCAGGGGTATCCTTTAGGCCTGCATCTGATTCTTATCCAAATAGTTATTCGAGAAATTCAAATTGTGGTAATTAAAAATGGTCAAACACATGCTGGCCCAGGCACTTGACATATGGGGTAACCAAAGCGCCATAGCCATGGTCCAAAAACAGAAACAGCATCCGAATCCTCATCCGAATCCAAATCAGGAGCAGAAAACAGGACCGGAGGACCGGTGACGTGGCCTGGGCGAAAAGGAGCAGGAGCTTTGGCTTCGCCTGCGGCTGGCTGTTATTATTTTTGTCACTGACAAAGCAAATCACCAGAAACCAACAAAGGGTCCCTGGTCCACCTCCTTTCGTAACCCCACAATCCCCAATCTCTGACCGCCGAGACCCCGCAACCCCGTAGACCCCGTAGACCCCTTAACCCCTCCTTGGCCCACAAAACCGGAGGCGTAACAAACGATGCCGCAGAAAAACCTCGTAGGCCCGGGCTCAGTTTCAGGCCCCTTAAAATCCTAGGACCCCTGTACAGGCACTCGCAGAAAAAACGGGTATCATTTTCTGGTAAGTGGAATTTAAATTAAGGGAGAGTTTCTATAAAACAAAGTATTTTCAACTATTAAGAATTCATATATGTTTTACAAAATAAAGTCTTACATTTTCAGACAATAAATGTAATAATTAATAACATCTTTAAATGATAAACATTTATTATTCTGATGGTAGAACCTAAATCAATTTTTTTACCTTTCTGTAAATGATTAAAGTGTGACTAAAATATTTATGTTTTTTTTTTAATCTAAGTATCTGATTATATTTTATAAAATTATATGAATTCATTTCTTTAACTTATTTGGTAATACTTTAGTAGCTCAAATTTTTTATATCATAATTATTTTTAACTTAATCCAACAATGTTTTTAATCAAACATGTTTAGCCAGTCATGGATTGCGAAATATCAAAGCTTAAGAAATAATTTCACATATAATCCGAATCCGATTATCCGACGTCAATTGATATCTAGCTTTATGAAAATAAGTTAAGGTTAATCTAACAGCTAAGTTTTTTGGAAACTAACAGATACTTTTAAAGAATAGGTTAACAATAATATTGCAGCTTAACATGCCATATACAGAAAAATTCGATTTTTTTACAAACTCATAACCCATTATTGAGTACGCGTTTTTTACATTTCCTGTAACCTCTACCTTTTTTCATACGATACTCGTTCTTTCTCCGAGTGCATCCTTCAGGGTCTGCCAACTGCGGGGCAATTTTCCTGTTGAATTATGAGGATATTTGTTTCGTCATGAAAGATTGGCCCCGCTACCGGTACCAGTACCAGTTTCCATTTCCTCTCACTCTAATCCCTTTGCCAGCCCAACGGGGCCAACTGTACATTTCTTTCTCTTCTCCGGCTTTCATCTTCTTTCGAGGAACGGGGGCTTTCCCACGT